TGTCTGTCTGGGGGGCGCATGCGTCCTATAGCAAAAACCTCTCCAAAAAAAAAAAAAATGTAAAGAAAAGAACAGGTAAGAGTTCTTAAGCTTGGGCTTGACAAAGCCCTGTTCTTGTTGCCCAGGACCTTCAGAGAACCTGGAGGGGCCAGACAGTGATGCAGCAGTAAAACCTGGCACTCCATGAGGTTCAGGCCAAAGACCTCCCTGAGTACTACCGCTCTGGGCACGGCAGCTCAGCCAGCTGAGGCTGGGGGTGCATGCAGGTGCCAGGAAACTGTTGGGCATGTTGTATCTCTGTTGTCTCTTTCACACATGGAAGAAATAAACTTAATAAAGAAAAAAGCCTCTGCATAGAGAATCCAGATATCAATCTAGAAATAGAGGAAATGGGCAGGCGTTTTTTTGTTCACTTTTTTTTATGTAGAATTCTTTCATTTAAGTTTGTGTATTTATTTATTTATTTATTTTTGTTAGTTACTTCTTTTATTTAAATTTATTTATTTACATTCATTCACTGTACATCATTACAACATACAAAATGAGTTTTTCCATCCAGAATACACTGTATATTGGCTCAATCAAGCACGTCAGCATACGTGTTATCGTCAACAAATAATTTTCCATTTCTTGTTTCCTAATGTTTTGCTTTTTTTTTTTTCCCCTTGTCCTTGATTCCCTATCTCTTTCTCTGTCATCTTCCACTCTCCTCCCACACTGTCTCTGGTATTTATTTATTTTAATTTGACCAGAGAGGGACAGAGTGAGCGAGAGATCGAGAGATCAAAAGAGAGAAAGTGAGAAAGCAAGCCTCCAGGTCCGGACTTGAACCCCAATCAACCATGTGGGAATCCAGTGCCCCCAACCACCACCCCACCTGCCTGCCCTTCCACTTTGAAGAAAAGTGCTCTGGGGGTACAGCAGGTGGCATGGTGGTTGGGGGCACTGGACTCCCATATGGCGATTTAAGTCCTGGACTTAGTGACTTGAAAATCACACCAGGCCCACATGCATGTGCACCCAAGATCCCAGGAGGAGAATGGCGTTGCACCCAAGATCCCAGGAGGAGAATGGAGAAGAGGGGATTGCAGTGTAACTGTCTCCCCCAGGGTGATTTCTCACTTTCCCTCTCACTGTGTCTGTCTGTCTCCCCGCTTCTACCTCCCTTCCTGCAAGCGCACATACTCTAAGGCAAAAATCTCTAAAAAATACGTGTTTTCGGTGCCAGCAGGTGGTGTAGTGGTTGGGGCACTGAACTCCCACATGGCCAACAGCAGTTCAAGTCCTGGACCGGCAGCTTGAAACTCACACAGGGTGTATGTGCTTGTGTGTGTGCCCAAAATCCTAAGGGGAGAATGGAGAAGGGATTGTAGTGTGACTATCTTCCCTCAGGAGGTGATTTCTCACTTTCTCTGTCTCTGTCTCTCAAATGAGTACACACACCCTGTACCAGAAACCTCTCTAAAAAACAAATTTTAAATGAAAAAGAAAAGTGATCTCCTGGTCAGTAGGTGGCATAGTGGTTAAGGTGCTGGATTCCCACATGGCTAATCACAGTTCAAGTTCTGGATCTGGCTGATTGAAACTCAGGCCAGGTGTGTTGCAAATGCCTGCCTAAAATCCCAACAGGAGAATTGAAGAGAAGGGATTACTGTGTGACCATCCCCTCTGGGGGGTGATTTCTCACTTTGTCTCTCCCTGTCTCCAACAAGTGCACACTCCCTATGGCAAAACCTTAAAAAGGAAAGAAAGAGAGGCCAGCAGATGGTGTGCTGGTTAAGGCACTGGACACTCCCACATGGCCGATCACAGTTTGAGTCCTGGACCTGATGACTTGTTTTCTCTCTCTCTCTCTCTCTCTCTCTCTCTCGTCAAATTAAAAAGAATGATTGGGATGCCAGCAGGTGGCATGGTGGTTAAATGTGTTGGACTCGCACATGGCCAACTGTGGTTCAACTCTCAAATGTAGTGGATTGGGACCAACAGTTAGCGTAATGGCTGTGTCACTGGACTCCCATGTAGTCGACCGTGGTTCAAGTCCCAGACCCGGTGGCTTAAACTCACGCCGGGAGCATGTGTGTGCGTGCCCAAGATCCCGAGAGGAGAATGGAGGAGAAGGGATTGCGGCATGGCCATCCCTCCTGGCGGGTGATTTCTCGCTTTCTGTCTCTCTGTCTTTCCAGTGCGCACATGCGCCCTATAGGAAAAACCTCTCAAAAACAAACAAACAAACAAAAAAAACCTAGTGGATTGCTTTCTCACTTTCCCTCTCTCTGTCTTTCTCTGATCAAATTGAAAGATAATAATAATAAAGTTAAAATAAATAATTCTTTTAAAAAATAAATTTATTTTAAAAAATTAAAATGAAGGAATAAATAAAAATTAAATAAACACTTCCTTAAAAGAAAGGAAGGAAAGGAACCAGCAGGTGGTGTCGTAGTTAAGGTGCTGGAATTCCCACATGGCCGACTGTGGTTCGAGTCCTGGGCCTGGTGGCTTGCTTTTTAATTCTCCCTCTCTCATTCTGTCTTTCTCTGGCAAAACTCATGTGAGAAATAATAAATAAATAATATTTTAAAATTATGTATTAAAAAAGAGAAGGAAAGAAGAAAGAACAAAAAAGAAAAGAAAAGTGCTCTGCAAGGACTGCTGGCATTTCTAGGGAGCTGGGAAGTGACAGAGAAGGGAGTGTGGAGCGCCAATCACAGACAGGGGCTGAGGCGCCTCAGTTCCGGCAGAAGCTGTCAGGCAGAAGCTGTCAGGGAGGGTGCACAAGATTCAACAAGAGCACAGATAGGAGGTGATGTTCGCATGCTCAACCAATCACAGTCCCGCAGATAGGTGTCCTGTGTGCCGCGTTTTACAGTTTGGAATAGTCCTCGTACAAATGGGTCTCAGAGTAAAGCGTCGAGGCCAGGTTCTGCCACTAACGCGTTGGTTATCTCGGATCTTTCATTGTGGCTTAAACTTCCTCAGTGACACAGAGGCTGGAGAGGACTAAGCCAGAGCGCAGCCATTGGGTGATGCCCGTCCAAAGTCTCGGGCAGCTCCGTACCCACCGGCAAGGAAGCGCCTCCTCCGCGGCGCCGCGACGAGGATGCCAGTCATTGCGAGTCCGCAGCCGGGGCTTCCCAGGTGACCGAAGACCGGGTCCGAGCGCTGAGCTGACTCGCTCCCAGCGCGACCAGTCGCGGGACTCCGCCGTGCACCCAGCGCCGCGGCTAGAAGAGCTCCCGCGGGCGCCCGGGGGTCGGCGCTGGGAAGGAGGGAGCGGAGCGGGCCGGCTCCGCGACG